GGCCGCCGCTCCCCAGACGCTGCGCGGCGCGAGAGAAGCTCGGGGCCTCGAACCTGTGGCTCCGCGCGGCCCCGGCCGCGGCCCGCGCAGCCGTGCGCTCACCTCGCGGCCGGGATCCGGAACCCTTGCTCCCCGCGCCCCACAAGCCCAGCCTCCGCGGAGCAGCGCAGCCCAAACCGAAACCGCCGAGGCAACGGCGCACAGCCAATCAGCGTTTTACTCGGCTACGGCGGCTCGCGGGGGCCGAAAAATCCGGCCCGCGCCGAAGCGCGCAAATCCAAGAATCCTGGTTTGTTTGATCGCCAAATGGGCGCAGTGGAATTCTCTCTAACAGAAATCCGAATGCAAAACATACGCTACAAAACCAAAAATCCAAAAACCTGGAAATGAGCTTTTGGGAAGGATTTCTTTACAGAAACGTAAGAAATAACCTGAAGTCATCGGAAACTGGAATTTACCGTGAAAGTAATGACTGTGCATATCCAGAAATGTCCTTGAATAAAGTAAAGAAATAAATAAAACAAACGCCACAAGTCTTTAAATCCACCTTTGGATATTGATTAGCTGGGTGAAGACGAAGTCATTATTAACAAGAGACTGTTTCCATGGCAATGCTAATTGATATAAAAATAATTCCAATCACTCAAGTAACTGAATTATAATGACATTAATTGCGTTACATTACAAACTAGTCCCCGATGGAAATGGTGTGCAGACATTATTTAAGTGCTGCTATGGGAACTTGATTTGGAATTTTGCATGAATTCTCAATATTCTTGCTATTAATGGAGTGGAAGTGAAAACACAAGAAAATTGTTGCACCAAGACTTGATTCCTTTTTTCCTTACACCCTCATTAGCTTAAAACTTATACTTTAAATCGATTTATGAGTTGTAACAGTATAAACAAAATGATAATATCTTCAAACAACAGATCTTTAAACCCATTAAGTGTTACAAGATCTAAGATGCATACTTTTTTTCTAAAGCAGAGTTTCTTCCTGTAGCTAAAGACAAAAGAAATGAACGACTGGTGACTGGTGGATATCGTGGACAGAACAACTGGGTGTGATTCGGTAAAGAATGAGACTTACATTCTTCTATAAAAGTGCAATTGGGGTAAAGACCAAGCAGTTACACGTTTATTGGAAGGTCTATATTTGAAGTTCTTATAATATAAAATGTAATGTAAAAAAAAAGTTAAGTGAAGTACCATTTAAATCAAATAAGCAGCTGCAAAGAACAAACATAATAGGATATAAAGCCCTGTCCCTAAAAACTATCTTCACAAAAGACATCAAATTGCCCATTCCTCACTGGTTGTTTCAATGATTAAAAAAATAGGTTTTTGATTCATAGCTTCTTTCCCTTTACCATGAAACCCTGGTGGAGCCGTTAAAACTGATGTGATGGACAAGGATAGGGAGTCACTAGGAGTTTTGAGAGTCTGATTCATCTGCAGAGCAGCTACAACCTTTTCCAAGAGGAACCGCTCTGTGAGGGCTCAACTAGACAAATGAGATGGGCACCCTGAATTACTTCATGAATCAAGTTCATTAAAAATGTTGTTCCCAGAAATCCCTCAGTGGCTTAGCATTGACTTTTACTAACTCATGAGGCCATTTTCCACATTTCCCGGGTTTTTGTTTTCAGCCTGTATTATTATTTATGCAAAGAAGACATTGCAAGACCTTTTGGGAGTACTAGTTTATCAAGAACTAGGCTTTGGCTGGGCTTGATGGCTCAGCCTGTCATCCTAGCATTTTGGGAGCCTGAGGCGAGTGGATTGCCTGAGCCCATTGGTTTGAGACCAGCTCGGGCAACTTGGCGAGACCTCATCTCTACAATAAATTTTAAAAGTTAGCTTGGTGTGGTAGCTCATGCTTATAGTTCCTGCTACTTGGAAGGCTGAGGCAGAAGGATAGCTGGAGCCCAGCAAGTCAATGCTGGGGTGGCCATTAAGTGTGTCAGTGTACTCCAGCCTGGACAACAGAGTGAGACTCCAACTCAAAAAAAAACAAAAACAAAAACAAAAACTAGTCTTCAAAACTATAAATACAAATATTAATTGATTAAGAAGTCTTAAAGTCATAAAAATATTTTGGTAAGGTTTAGTTTAACTTAATTTAGTCGTTGGAACTAATCAACCTACATTGTCACATCATTATCACCCAAAGGCCAAAGTTCACATTAGGCTCCATTCTTGGTGTTGCACAATCTACGGGCTTTGACAAATGCATAACAGCATGTGTCCACAATTGTACTATCATACAGAATAGCTTCACTAAAAAAACTCTGTGCTTCACCTGTTATCCCTCCTGATCCCAACCGTTAGCAATTGCTGATCTTTTTACTGTCTCCAACTGTTTTGCGTTTTCCAGAATATCATACAGTTGGAATCATACCAAACATAGTTGGGGATGCACACAGTGCACCACCACACTATGTAGCCTTTTTGGGGCAACTCATTTCTTTTGAGTGCTGGATAATATTCCATTGTCTGGATGTACCACAGTATATTTATTCAGTCACCTTCTAAAGGATATCTTGGTTGCTTCCAAGTTTCAGCAATTATGAACAAAGCTGCTATAAACATCATGTGCAGGGTTTTGTGTAGGAATGAGTTTTCAACTCCTTTGAGTAAATGCCAAGGACTGCAATTGCTGGATCTTACGGTAAGAGTATGTTTAGTTCCGTAGGAAACTGCCAAACTGTCTTACAATGTGGTTGTACCATTTTGCATCCCTACTAGCAGTGAATGTGAGTTTCTGTTGTTCCACATTCTCAGCAGCTTTCAGTGTTTCCAAGGTTTTGGATGTGTAGTGCTGTGTCATTGTTTTTGTAAATTTGTTATTACTTAATGACATATTATGTGGAGTCTCTTTCCCTCTGCTTATTTGCCATCTGTACGTCTTCTTTGATGACGTATCTGGTGTTCAGGTCTTTGACCCATTTTTGAATTGGGTTATTCATTTTTTATTGTTGAGTTTTAAGAGTCCTTTGTATATCTCAGATAATAGTCCTTTATCAGATATGTCTTTTGCAAATGTTTTCTCCCAGTTAGTGATTTGTCTTTTCATTCTCTTGACGACATTATGCTTAAAGTAGACAAAAGATGCTATAAAAACACTAAGGTGAACTTTTGCCACTTCACTGTTTGCTCCATACTTCTATATTTCTTCTACTGTACATGTGCCTTTAAATAACCATGTCCAAAAAAAAAACTATATCCTTCAATGTTTCAAGTTCATAAGAGGAGGTATTATTTCTAGCTTATTTTATCAAACAGCCCTGTAAACTTATGGGTGTTTGTATTATGTTGTTGATGATGATGATTATGATAAATACAAACATGTAATTGGATTGGCTAACACTCTCCAAAGTACATTTTAGTACCCAACATTGATGTTGAGGTTCTAAGAACACTGGCTAGTCTTGTTTGAGCAATATTAACTGGTATGAAGTGCCAGCGTGAACCTGAACCTTTTCTGGACCTTCAGACTGTACAATAAGAACAAATAAGTTGTGACATCCTATGGATACTTGGGGCCACCTTTAATGATAGGATAAAAAATTATCTGTCAAGGAAAACAAGAAGAAAGACATTCCATAGTTGAATATCTTTCAAAAAGTAATATAAGCTTATTGACTGGTGGGCAAATTTCTGAGGAAAAGCAGTATGGCTTTTATTTTTACTCCAAAAAAGGATATATTCTACATCGTGTGTACTTGGCTTCAGATATAACATTTGAGATGTTTAAATAAATATTCAGACTTCATCACCGTCATTTTGGTATGACTTGAATTTTAAAAGAGATGGGATCAGGGTCTGAACTCCTTTAAGGAGCGTCTGCCTGATGCTGTGATGGTTTATGCTCCACCATGAACTCTAGAAAACCTCTCTCAGCTGTAAAATTCAGTGAAATCGGTGTGAAGCTGCCCTTGTATTTTAATCAAGATGAACTTGAAAGGTGAACATTATAAGTGGGAGAAATTATTTATAATTTGGTAATAAAAGTTTATGTCTAACACTCCAAATTTCATACATCTGCTATGTGCTGGCCCTGAGATATAAAACAATTGAAGTTGCCTTTACATTTGGCCTTATATGAAAGGTCATAAATTAGAATGATAGCGTTCGTCCTCTTTCCTAGCTCACAAAATTTCCATATTAACATCTTCACCTCAAACATAAATGGTTACCCAGCTACAAAGAAAAGAGTGGTATTGGCCTTCATGAATTATAGTTTATGTTGGAAATCTGTGGTACATAAGGCTATTCAGCTTGCCACAGAGCACATCTACTTCAGTGAAGGTAATTTTACCATAGTGAAACTAATTAAACCTATATGGCCAATTTGAATAAAATACAGTATATAAAAATTTAGGAATACTTTAGAAATCAGCAAATGGTTGTCAAAGGTATGTGATTCTTTCTACTCTCAACAATGCATTTTTAGGTCGGACACGGTGGCTCATGCCCGTAATACCGGTATTTAGGGAGACTGAAATGGGAGGATTGCTTGATCCCAGGAGTTCGAGACCGGCCTAGACAATATAGTGAGATCTTGTCTCTACAAAAAAAATTAGCCGGGTGTGGTGACGTGTGTGTGAGGCGGAAGGATAGCCTGAGCCCAAGAGGAAGACACTGCGGTGAGCCATGATCAGGCCATAGCTGCCTGGGTGACAGAGTGCGATCCTGATTCAAAAAAGAAAAAAATATTTTTGAGAAACATTTTTATAGGGCTTTTCTCTGTTAGAATACCTGCTACCAAGTTGTGTTGTTTTGTTTGTTTTGTTTTAGAGTCGGGGTCTCACTCTGTAGCCCAGGCTGGAGTGCAGTGGCACAATCAGAGCTCCCAGCAGCCTTAGCCTCCTGGGCTCAAGCAATCCTCCTACCCCTGCCCCCTAAAGTGCTGGGATTACAGGCATGAGCCACTGCACCCAGCCTTGATTTTTTTAAACTATAGAAAAACAAAAAAAAAAAAAAAAATTCATTTTATTATGACATATAATAACTAAGTTCATTTCAAAATATTGATGAATTGGACTAGAACTTCATGTTTAGACTTTCAAAAAAGAGTTTATAGCAAAATCCAGATGTCCTTGATTGCCCAGGGTGAGTTATCGAATCCATATGCTCTTTTGGTGTAAGTGTTTTTTTTGTTT